CGTACACATCCTTTTCGTATGTCGCCATTCAGTGTCTTTCTTATAACTGCCGGCGATTTCATGCCATGGGCGAAACTCCTCGAGTGTTGACGAGTTTGCGTCGAAGGCTAAACTCAAATACAGGCGAGTTCACGCTGCAGGTAAACTCGAGTGATGGTGAGTTTGTGTGGAAGGCTAAACTCAACTGCTGGTGAGTTCGTGCCGCAAGCGAAACTCGATTGATGGCGAGTTCGTGTTGAACGCTAAACTCGACCGCTGGTGAGTTTACACTGCAAGCGAAACTCAATTGATGGTGAATTTATGCTGAAAGCTAAACTCGACTGCTGGCGAGTCTACGCTACAAGCGAAACTCAATTAATGGTGAGTTTGTGTGGAAGGCTAAACTCAACTGCTAGTGAGTTCATGCCACAAGCGAAACTCGATTGATGGCGAGTTCGTGTTTGAACGCTAAACTCAACTGCTGGTGAGTTTACACTGCAGGCGAAACTCAATTGATGGCGAATTCATGCTGAAAGTTAAACTCGACTGCTGGCGAGTTTACGCTGCAAGAGAAACTCAATTAATGGCGAGTTTGCGCTGGTGAATTCACGCTGTAGGTGGAACTCGAACGATAACGAGCTCGCCCCATTTTAGGCGGCGGTGAACTTGTGCCACGCGTCGGCCTGCGGGCCTAAGTGCTTGTCCGCTTAAGGCGTTGTTGGGTGTGTTAATGCTCATTAATGGTGAAGCGACGGAACGCTTCGTCTCTCGTGCTCAATCCAATCGGTCGGTTTGGAGTCCCAAGCGGGGTGGCTTTTATTGGCGCTAAGCTCGAAGCGTCGTAGGACATCTGAGCCGTCAGATTGCTTGGGACAGCAGATCTCGGCCGTAGGGCCTTTGGCTATATAGCGTACTCGCCCTCTATCCAGCCAGGTCTTCGTGTCTTCGAAAGAACTCGCTAGAAGGGAACAACTACAGGAACTCTCTTTGACCCATGGCCTCTGCATCCGACCGCAGTGCCTCCGAAGGCATGGACTCTTCTGCCACCGTCATCGGTGCCAGTGAGCCACCAGCTTCCCCCGCGAGCTCGGCTTAAGGGTCTTCTGCACCGGACCCCACATCTCACCCCGCGTTTGAGATCCTCTAGCGGTTGGAGGGCCTGGTGCACCGAACCGCTGTTGT